CTTAATATGAGTGTTTGTTTATTTTTTCTGTGCTTTATAAAATGATCTGATTGACGATTAGATTACCCTTATATTAAGACTAATCTGATTGCTTACTGGATTTTCCGCAGGTGGCCATACTCGTGTAGAGAAATTAAAGGGGGCTAAATTAATAAAAAATTATAAACGTTACAGGTGCTCCTATGGCTTAGCCACCAAATATATTATATTTGAGATTTATTTGATTTCAAATGTTTAGGATAACCTTGCATGAGATAATATAATTTTTCATTTCTAATATAAATGTAATTTATTTAAAGTATCGAGTTATGAAAGTTAGTCTTTGAGTTGGGATATAGGTATTCAAAATTGGATTCCAAAGAGGAAATGATACCACTTAGGGGGACGGTCCTTTTCTATTTAGAAGCCAAAATTTGAATAATTTTAATACCCAGAGTGAAAAGAATAACCTCCCCTTTGGGGGAAGAGTTTTCATTTTCATTTGGGTATCCATATACAATCTATCCAAGAAGCCCAAAGAGTTGAAGACAAAGAGTATTCCACTTAAAGTTAACTTGCGTCAATTCTAGGATTAAAGTTTGAGTTTCTTTATTAGTAGTGCACGATCACTTTTAATTTAATTAAATTTTAGGTTGTAATAAAAGGAAATTTTTCTTGTCGACATTATTTATGAAATTAATTTGATTAATCAATGTGTTTGATTTAATATTTGATTGCTATTAGAATTGCCTGGTTTTCTTAATTTTTTGGTGATTTGCATGTTATGTTTTATTTTAGCCTGGATATATGGAGGCTAATGAGGAGGGTACGTTAAAACAATTTTAACTAAAATAAAAATAAAAATTTTAAGATAATATAAAAACTCTAACAATCTAAGAAGTAATCCTAGGACCACCGAAAGTCAGCATAAGCATAATATTATTGACTTTCTCTTTCTTGTTAGGCACCTCCCCGCTTGCGGGTTTCAACAGATCACCTGGCCATTGAGGGTGCAGATCTGCCAAGGGGTTGTTGCGTAATCCCTTGAAAATATAATTTTTAAATCCTTTTCCAAAAACTGCTTCATATAAATATTATATATTTAATCGAGTCGATCATTATGCATTGCATTAGAAATTAATTAAATGAGTCTAAAAGTTTAATTACATCTGATTCGAGCATTTTTCACCATACAAAAGTCAAGGGGCAAATTAAGACTTGCTTTAGGCATCAATTCTAATTTTAAAGAACTTTTAACAACAATCCATCACTATTTCATAAAGATCGGGCTCATGGATGTTTAGCGCTTAGGTGATTAGCTAGCTTCTTAATCCAGCACTGGTTAAGTCAAGATTTTGCACTGCATTAGCTAGGTTCGGGCTATTGTAGTTTATTGCTCAATTTTAGATTTAGGATTCGAGACAAATTCTGAATTATAAGACCCAAACCTCTAGGAATGTAATCATAAATTTTTAATAATTTACTCAATTTAAATTAAAGGTTATCTCAATCTAAATTTAAAGTCCAACACTTATATTAGGTTGGAATACTTCGAGTATAGCCACTCCTTACCTCCCGGCACCGGGGTGGCGACGCTGGGAGGCTGCTGAAATTTTTTTAAAATAAAAATTTGAACAAAAATAAATTTTCTTATGAAAAATTAATGAATTTGGATGAAAATGAAAAAAAGAAAATATTCTTCCTAAATAATACAAATTTCATTTAAAGTACAAAGCTCCCCATGCTGTTTAATGGATTTTGAAGAATATTGGAAGAGAAATTTTGGAAGGTTAAAAATCTAAGAAGCATTCGAGTAATAAAGTCTAGTTGTAGGGAATATTACATATTAAGTAAAGTAATCTGGGCTTCAAGTCAAATTAAAATCTAATTAAAAAAAAATGCTCATGTAGGCTTTCAATTGAGGAAGATCTAGACATTATAAATTGTCAAGTTATTAAGATTTGTTGGTGGAAGAGTTACAAAATTAAGGAAATGGCCAAATATATCATTGACTTATGTATGGAAGTAGATTTGGTGCTAACAACTTTTTATGTATGTAATTTGAAGTATCAACTTTAACTGTGATATTGGTAACTAAATCTAGTAAATGAATCAACATCTATAAAATAAATATTCATTTGATAGTTGATTTTTACTATGTTTTGAGTTACCAAGACAACTTACTTATGTTGCTTTCGAAAGGCTAAGATCAATTAATAAATTATTGTGTTAGGTTGAGCCAACTTCCTACAAATATGAAGTAACTTCCAGAGCAATTGATCATAGTATCAATAAGTGCAAGCCATCATGTTATTGTTGATGTTATAGAGCATTAAAGATGTGTCAAACCAAGCTCCATTACTTAATGTATGCTTGTTAATGGATATGCCAAATAAGAGTTTATAAGTAAGACACTAAACCAATGTTGTTCTTAATCCTCCTTAACAATGTAATCAAGACATGTGTGTGAGTTAGAAATATAAATGTGATGAAAGAATTGTCTTACTCATGAAGGAGATAAATATAACTTTTATTATACGATCTTCATCACAATGATAAGATAATATGATAGCATGAGCATGAATATAGAGGCTCAAGATTTGAAGGATAAGATGCTTAAAGTGAAAAGTGAAATTTAATACGCTCGACACAACCGGATCCGCAACATGTGTACAAGTGGACAGAAGGCGTTTCTAGGGCCTTAAATGAAATCTTTGGCATTAATAAACAAAATCACTTGCAAAAATGGATCATATTTAAATATTTTAAAATTCTCCTTTTATGTATTAAATATGATCCCTTAAACTAAATTCACCCTGCATGTGCTCCGATAAAGGCAGTAAATTTCTAAACACAAATGTCTGAGAATGCTATGTAGGGCCAAATACTCATTCTATTTTCAAACTAAACAAATATTCAAGTTTCATCCTTTTCCTTAAAAAGACTGGAGTTGACATGACTTGAAGTACAAAATACCTACAAAAATCCTATAAAAATAAGCAACTTTAATGTCACCCCGATGATGGCTATGTTGACAAAAAAAATTCAATTAGAGGAGTCAATTTTCAAATCAAACAAAAGCCCAAATTCTTGAAATAAAATTTATCATATAAAAACTTAAAACTAAAAATCATCCACCTCCCACAACCATTTATTGAAGGTGATAAATTTGAAATTAATCTCAGCTCACAAAGAGCAAATGTATGTCAGGAGTATCACTATGATTCATCCTCAAATAGTCTCTTGCCAGCAGGGACGTGGCACGTGCCCTCTGATCGGGTGATTTTGGCGCAAAATGGCACCATTATATTACGATCAAGGCCAAAGCCCGTATATTCCCTAATGGCGTCAAACCATTGAGTTATTAATCATAGGGTATATTCAATAGGCATAAAGCCCTCTGTTAGTTAAGGTGAATTTAGATATATCCCCTTAGACAAATACCAACCCAGGTCTACAAGATATTATTGGATGAATCAACCCATGGCTACCGACAAAGTGCGTTCTATCAGGTTGGGTGGACTACCTCCTCTGACTAAGTAGACTAGGGATCTTGACAGCTCGGGATGATAGAATCATGAGATCTTGATCGGGCTCATCTTCATTGCCCCCCACCACCAGTTTTATGTTTATGGTGATAAACTCTAAATTTCAAATTTCAAAATTCAAATCCAAAGTTCAAATCCTAAAACTATTGCTATTATATATATGATGGGTTTATAACATATTCAACATCTTTAATGACTAGCCTTAATCTAAAGTTCTCTTCTATTGTCGAGAGGGGTAATTAACTATAATGGCTTATGCCTATAGGAAACAAGAACTCAGATAAAAAAGTCCTCAAAAAATGAGGGAGAAATCTCTGAGGTAGTGTCTTATCTAAAACCTAATCTGCCTTCTAAAAATGCATCCGGAACCTAATCTCGTTAAAACTCTCTATCTTCCTCATTACGCTTAAAAATAAAAGTAAAATAGATTGATGATGCAGCGAGGCTGGGGCATGCATCAAATGGAATTTTTGGAGACCACAACCCGTCTAAATAATATATATTTTTAATTTTAATATATCATAATCTTTATTTATATGATTTATAAATAATTTATAAATTTGGGCAAATTAATCATTATTAGTATTTTTTTACTTTAAAATTTCCTATGATGGTCCAAGTTTGGATGAAAAAATTGAGAAATATTTTTAAAAATAAATTTATGCCCCCGCTGAAAAAATTTCTGGCTCCGCCACTGTCAACCATGATGGGGAGCCTCAATTTCCTTGCCTCTCTCTCTCTCTCTCTCTTAAAGCTTGAAATAATATTTAATTAAATAACAAATTAAAAAGAGGGCTACAGATAAAGTTATTCAATAAATAATTTTTTAAAAGCAATAAAAATAGGAATAGTAAACTTAATCATTTGCAAATTAATTAATAGAAATGTCAAGATTTGATTCTTTTTTAAAAACAATCTTGAAATGAGTTCTGGTTGAAACTTTCCTATAGAGACTAACCATTCCAACAATTTACGTAATATCTGAACTTGTGTAAGTAGCAAGAGTTTTTTACAAGACTTATGTAGAGACTTGGATCCAACTTCTTACCTCCATCATTCTAAGACAACTTGAATTCACATTCTATCAAAATTCCAATGCGATTAGAGTCATCTATATGTAACTTTATTGATGTCTTCTTTAGCATAGCTTTCTTGAGTAATGAAGGCACCTTTATTTTACTGCTTTACATTAATGATGAGTTGCTAGTCCTGACCCTGAGGTGGTTATTCCTAGCAAATTTTATCATATATTATTGAATAAATGTAAATAAACTTGTTAAACTAAGAGATTTGAAAATATGACATGAGAAAATGATTAAGAAAATAACCTATCTCAACATATAAAGCATTACATCATCAGTAGGAATGTAGACATAATCACTAAGAAAGCAAAAACATTAACTGACTTCGAAAAAACATATAATCATAAATAGACCATATGATAAATTCTCACCGAGAATGAGAACCTTAATTTTAGCTAGTATACACAACAATTGGACTTCTGACATTATGAATACCATCACTCCAGATCAAAACACCCGAGATAATGGTGTCATAAGCATCTCCTTCAAGTTTGACTGAAAATGATTTCTTCTCGAGAAGAGCTTCAAAAGACAAAACATTCGGCTCAATGTTGATCTTGAGGCTAGAAGGAGCATTAACAATAGCATAGTAAGTGGAATTTGGCGCTCCCACGTTAGTGACTATTCTTCGATAAGAAGTTGAAAAAGACTTTCCATGTTGAGTTTGAAAAGCAAAGGTAGGATAATTGAGATCTAAAACCGTTCCATTATTTGAAGAGGTACAACTGCTCTGATCTCCAGTGACAAGTCTTAGCGTTGTTGTGAAATAGCCTTCACCACATAGCATTTTGATGTAGTCTATCTCTTGAGCATCATATATAAGACCAGGAGTCAATGCAGCAAGTGGGTTTATGTGACCGGCTCCATAAGCAAGTTCTGCCTCTACATTTCTACTTGAGCTCATAGCATAGGCTAAAAAATTTAAAAATTAAAATTTAATGTTAATTTATCAAGATGAAATGAAAGGAAACTATAATTTGAAATTACATTTATTAGCCATATACTAATGATTGCAAAAGTCAAATTAGTATTACCAGTGGTGATGAGAGCAGATTTTATGGCTGCTGGAGACCAAGTTGGATTAAATGATTTGACATATGCAGCAGCACCTGTTGTATGAGGGCAAGCAATTGATGTGCCAGATATAATGTTATATGAAACTTTAGGATTACCAAGTGGTGACCATGCTGCTAAAATTTCAACCCCTGGTGCTGTTAGGTCCGGCTACATTATACATGCAACAAATTACAATAATATTTACACAAAAGAAATTTAAATCAAAGATTTAATTTATGTATTCAATTAATTACCTTTAGTATATTTGGGGTAAGTGGATTTGGACCGCGTGATGAGAATGAAGCCACATATGGTGCTGTAGCATCGAAGACACCTTCACTCTTGTAAATGCTTGCAGTAGGATTGCTGCCAGATAGATAATTAAGCATAGATAATCTAAAGTACTACATGTATAGTCCTTATGAAAATTAATTTTGAAATTAATAAAGATCATAATAAAGTTATTTTTTAAGCGCACAGACACACGCATACTATTTAAGAGTAGTAACCTTGTGCTGTTTGCATAATTTAGAACTTGTTTGGTACTATTTGAATCCAACACTGAGACAGGAAGCAAGAAGTTCTCAACAGTTGGATCATAGGCCCCATCTTTGCCCATAATTACTCCAACAGCACCTACAAGTAGTGGCACTGACGCGTCAGTAAACGCATCACATAAAACAACTTTTCCATTCACCAATTCACCATCCAACGTCCCATCATAGCAATATCTGTAAGCATGACAAAAATATAACATAAATTAAATGAAGATGATGATGTTAATTTTAACTTAATAATTCAAAAATAAGTAAACTAGTTCACCTTGAGTATCTTGCATCATGACCTGCTGAAATGTTGGGTGCATTTCCGGCATATATCAAAGGATACATCTCACCATCCAAACCATCGATGTTCATTGCCTTCCCCTATAACCAATAATTTTAATTGCATAAGAATTAATTATTAGGAAACTCAACTTTTAAAATGAATAATGTATAGATTGATATTTAATTAATCACATCAAATTCAACTCCATTTCCAAGCTTAGCTCGTGCAATGATATTGCGATCAGTGGTGCTCGCTGCCACTGAGAGTAGCCATGGTGCGTAATTCTCAATGGAATAAAAACTAAGACCACCATTCCCCATTGAGCTAGATGTCAGAATGTTTTTCTTCATTGCATGGAAAGATCCTATAGCTATGGGATCCTGGAAGTAGCTATTGGAATAACCACCAATGGAAATAGAGATGATGTCGACACCATCTTGGATGGCATCTTCAAAGGCAGTGAGTAGATCAATGTCAGAGCAGCCATCACTCCAACAAACTTTGTATATTGCAATTCTCGCAGAGGGGACGCCTCCACGGGCAGTTCCACTTGCAATGCCTGCGAGGCTTGCATTTGTGACAAGGCGACCGACGACTATGGAGGATGTGTGAGTTCCGTGCCCATCACTATCCCGAGGAGAGGGTATGTCCATTTCTCTTATGTTGCCTTGAAGGTGGTAGTATCGAGCTCCAATGATTTTACTGTGCGTTGGTAATTAATTATTATAGTATTAGTAATTTCATATAGCTAGATATTATAACTACTTTTTATATGTATAACATGATGAGGGGCATTAATTACTTGTTGCATGTGAAGTTGTGATTTGACTGACATATGCCCTTCCACCTACTTGGTGGCGGGCCAAAGCCTGCATCATCGAAGCTCTTCGACTCAGGCCAGATCCCTGTGTCGATCACCCCGACAATAACATCTGACTCAAAGGGTGCACGTGGAGCGCTCAACGGAAAACCCATGAAGTTCCAAGATCTTGTCGTGTGAAGTTGTCTTTGCTTGCTTGGGAACACAGAAACCAATTCTTCCATGCCTGAGTTCATAAAGCACATCAAATTTGAAAAAAAAAAATTAATATTTCACAAGCCAAATATTATGCAATAATAGCATTGCACTTATGTCTATTATTCTAGCAAGTTTTTATTTGATTTATATATGTATTTATATTACCAGATAACTTCCTTGCTTCTTCATCAGATAGCATAGCGGCGAAGCCAAGAAAACTCTTGGTGTAACTATATATAAGTCGGTTCGACGCTTCCTGATTGCTGCATTCAACGTTATTTTTAAACAAAAAATACATATTTATATATAAGCAAAAAATAATAATTAGATATATGATAAAAAAAATATTATAGAATCAAATCTATGTCAATTTGGAAATCTTGATATTTTAATCGGTACCAGAAAATCAATAAAAAGATAAAATTGGCGACTTGTTTGGACAGAACACCTTAATCCAATTGCTTTCTGGAGCAGTTCTGAATGAGCTAATAGTGGCATGCCAACGGATTCTCTTGGCTTTTCTCCCATGTACACGATGTAAGGCTGTTGATTGTTCACATTAATAAATTACATGCAATTGTGGTAAATAGTAGAATATATATATATATACATATATATATATATATATATATATATATTGTGAAATGAATTTTGCAATCATACTCTTTGGTTGGGTTTTGTGGTCTCCCCAAAGCCTCTGAGAGCCTTCATTGCAAGCATTAGGAGAAGAAATGAATACAGCAAAGGGAACAAGTGCCGATCCATAATCGCGATTATTTTTGAGTTTAAGGAGGTGAAACCCAATTTGTTACTGCCATTCTATGGAAGGATGATGGGTTTATATATGTGTTTTTGTTCACGGAATTATATATATTTATTAACTAAGAGTTTCCGGTGAGGTGAAACCACTTAAGCTTTGAATTCTTCGCGAGTGTTAAACATTGACATTTGTTAATGAACTATGAGTACGTTTTTTGTTGTAGGAATGCTTTCGGATAGATGTTTTTTGTTTTTTTTTTAATGAAAAAAAAAATGTTTTTTTTACTTTCTCTGATCAGATTATTGTAATTGATAAGATAAGTTATTCACTATTATTCATATATATTATAAATCTACACGATTTTCTATAAGTTTTTAAAACAATAGTGAAGGCCCGTTAATGATAATTTTTTTGGAGTATTTAGACGATTGAAATGCGGATAGCATGAGAAGAATTTTAAAGCAATAATGGAGGCCTGTTATTGTTTTTTTTTTTTTTTTTTTGGAGTATTTAGACAAATGGAATACAGATCAGCCGAGCCACGACTTGATCTGCCTATTAATAATAATCCAAATGCAATCATTAGTTGTGTTGTCATTTAAACTTGTCATATTTTTGTATTTAAAATTAATGATTTGTTAAAAGAAGTATTAATAATAATCCAAATGCAATCATTCATTGACTACGATCCTTTTGACCTTCATCGTCTGTCGACTACAACCACTTTGGCCTAAATTGCCTGCTGACTACAATCACTCTGATCTCCGCCGTTTGCCAACTACAATCCCTCGAACCACCATCACCCGCCGACTACGGTCCCTCCGACAACCGTGGCCCGCCAACTACGATCCTTCCAATGCTCGTCGCCAGCCAACTACTGCCTATTCGGCCACCGTCACTCGTTGACTACTGTCCGACCCGTTTTTTGAAACGGGTCGATTTCTGGAACCCGAACCCGACCCGTTTTGAAATCGGGTCGGGTCCAACCTGGCGGGTCCGGGTCGGGTTTTCGTGTCGTGTCAAAAATTGACACCCCTACTGCCAACTATGGTCTCTCTGACCTCTTTTGCATGGAGACTATGGTCCCTCTAATCTCTATCATCCTACTAACCAAATAGGCAAGCCAACTATATCTACAGAATGACTCCCTTATCATTAGATTCTTTCAATCCCAACTATCTAATGTACTATATATGATATAATGAGTCAAGGACTTTCCCTTGAGAAAGGTCACCATTTGCAATCTACTAGAAACCCTAGTTGAGTTTCAACTGGACCAGACACCATGGTTGTTTTTCTCCTTTTTTAGGGTTTTGTATGTAAAATTTTTTGTCTATTATGACTCTCGATCTACTCTCTGTTTATCTGTATGTGTGATGGATTTTCATTCAAAGTTAAAATATTAAGCTCTTTATCTCTCTAGGACCACGAATGTTCTAATCCGCAATAATAATCTTGTTAATGTCAAGCTGATTAGAAGCGAACAAGACATTCATGTTTTGCTCGTTAGAGATATGAGCTTAAATAATATAATCAAACTCAAGCTAACAATCAAGTTTTTCACAATCGAACATGAACAACTTTTTAACCATCCCTATCCTGTACCAATAGTGACAAATTTAATATATTTGAAAATTTTAATTTATAAATTTGAAGTGTTTAACACTAAAGAGATATGGTAGAGAGAAAATATTCAAAGATCCGTTTTATATGGACCAATGCTTGACTTGGGACAGCTTTCTTCCTACTTACTAAAGTAATTTTTTACTACAAAAATATTTTGAATTAAAAATTTTTATACTAAAAAACTATTTTAAAAAAATAATAAAAAAACTATCTCAAATGAAGCCCAAATCAATATTCTTTCTTATGCTTTGATCCTCAAACTGTTTAATCATCACTATAACTCCAGATTATTGGTTCATTATTACATCTTGTTGCAGGTATTATCAACAAAACAAAAAGAGAAAGACTAATTTATTTTATATTATTGATCTCCAGATTAAGAAACCTATTTTGCAATTTTTTTTTTTATTTAGATGTTAAAAAGAAGATATCAAGAGTTATTTTTATTTAAATCTTTTAATCTCTTGTTACAAAAGGAATGAGGAATTTTTTTTAATCTTCCAAAATATTATTATTTTCTGGTGAAGAAAATAAAGTAAGATTAATTAAAATATTTATATTAATTAAAATATTATTCACATATTTTTAATGAAAAAATTAGTTAAAAAAAAAGACTTAGTTTATCCTAATTCACTTCGCTCCCTCCTTTAGTTATTCCATACCTACAAGTTTTTTTCTCTAGCCGTATCCCTTCGTTGGACGGGATTCATCCTCTGGTCGCATGATGCCTCTCTCGCAGTGGAGAAATTATTGTGTGCGGAATCCGAATGCATTCAGATTCCAATCACCATGCGCCATGTCACCGGATGCACTGGGCCCCGGAGTGCATCCGCTGACGTGGCAAGCTGTGATTGGAATTCGAATGCATTCGGATTCCTTAAACTATAATTTCTCCTCGCAGAGGGAAGTTTCTTCCATATTTTATGTTTGTTCTCTTATCTTCTCCTAGTTTTTTTTTTTTCTCGAATTTACCTGTCTTCTTGATCGTTTTGCCCTCAGTCGAATTGTGGTTAATCAAGTGAGGTTTGTTGATCTTCGGTTTTTGAACGGGAAATCTAAGTCTAGATCTTTTCTTGTTGCTCTTTCGGTGGCTTCATCTTTAATGCCATTTTTGGATCTTAGAAATTTGACTTTCCGCTAGTTGCCATTGCATTGGATCTCAGAAGAAGAAGCTGTCTCTTGCTGCTCCTTTTGAGTTCTCTTTGGTATAAATCTAAGTCCACCTCAAGATTTGATCAGAAAATTCTTTTTTAACCTAAAACTTTCTAGTGAATATTTAGTTACTCTATTGGATTCTCGACATGTTCTTATAAAATTAAGTAGTGATATGAATTATATTTGAGTTTTTGCACATCGTTCATACTTTCTTAGCACATATTTTATGAAACTGACCAAATGGTCACCCTTTTTTACATTAATGAGTAATCTCCCATTGTTCCGATTTGAGTTTCCTTCACATATCTTCGCCCACATTTGTTTGCTCCCTATATCTTACACGGGCATGGCTCGCTTTTTAGTCATCCCCTTTATATTCATACCGCCACTTCAATTGGCTCTCGTATGTTGGTTGCTTGTGTGTTGGTGGAGCTGGACATTACGAAACATTATCTTGATAGTGTTTGGGTTGGTCCAAAAAATATTGACTATATAGAAAATGTTGTGATGGATGATTTCCCCTCTTTTTGTGAGCATTGCAAATCTTTGAGACATTTCAAAAAAGAATATGTTAGTCTTCATCCTCATTTGGCTAAGAAACCTTATATTAATATTAATCTGGTGAATGTTGCTGCTAATGAAGCTTCTCAGTTAGCTCGTCTTGTTGATGTCCTTGTCCTCATTACAGGAAAATTTTTCACTATAGTTGGACTCTACAGCGGATATACATACGCCGTAAAAAGCGGCGGCCAAACTAGTGGAATATGTGATCGACTAAGGCGGCGGATTATCCACAAGTATTTCTAGCGTACAATTTTTGCAGGAAATATTGACGGATCAAACGCCGGAATCTGTTGAAGAAAGATGACATTTTGCCATCATTTTTCCTGCCAGAATTTCGCTTGAAATGCCGCTGAAAAGGTTTCTAGCTGAAAAGTTTTGCCGGTTTAGATTTTTTTACCATCAAATTACCATCGGATGAGTTTTTTCCAGAAATTCACCGAAAAATGGAATTTTTCGACTAATTTATATTTTTACCAGCAAATTTGGTCCACCGATAACAAAGCATTTTTCTGTAGTGCCTGATTAAATCTTCTTAGGTTGATAATGTTGTGGATAATGCTAATGGTTTACGTATTACTTCCACTATTATTAATGTCCATATAAGTGTAGTTAATAGAGGGGATGAAATTGTGGTTAATGCTAGGGATAAGTGTAATGTTTAAGAAAATATTCATGTAGCATGTTTTGCTTAGTCTGACGTTTCTAATTTGGGGCTTATTATTGAAATTAATTTTTTTTTCCGGTGTCTAATGAGGTGTTGGCCTTTTTAGGATTGGAGATGCCTATTGTGAATGGCCTATACGATGGCAAGTTTGTTGATAATACTAACTGGATACATTACCCGTTAAGTGTTGAGAGGATTGCTGGGGAAGTGAAAGTTGGTCATTATTATGCTTTATTGGAGGATGTTGTTTAAGTAGATAATGAGGGATTTACTTTTGCAGCTGGGAAAAATTAAAAATAAAAATTAAGGGGGAAAAAGGTTATGTAAAATTTCAAATTTAGTGTGGCTAATTCCACTTTCTCTAAAACTTCTTGGATTTTTTTGTTTTTTTATTGGATATTTATGTTGGTTGTGTTGGTGTCTCGTTAGGGCTATACTGCTCTACTCTTTTTTTGTCCTATTCTAGCTTTTAATTAGGTGGTGTTTGGTTTGTCCTTCGTTGGGCCTATTTTGCTTGATTTTGGTCTTGGATTTCTTTTTATTGTGTGTTGCTTCTTTTGGCCTCTATTTGAGGTTCTGTTATTGTTATCTTGGCTATTAGGTCTCTAGTGTGCAACTTATAGTTTGTGGAGTTGTATTTGTGTGATGCTAGACGCCCTTATTTTTTCTTCATGGAGGTTTGATTTCCTTGTAGGTTCTGGATTTGACTTGACTTCAATGGTGCAGTGCTTCGATTCTGTCATTGTTGCGGTGTTGGTGCTCTCTGGATGGCTTGGCTATTTTGTTGGTGCCTTTGTACCCTATCCTTTTCTTT